ATAGGTTAGATCAGCTTGGAAAAGGGCTAGTTAGTAGTGGTCAAACCAAAACATGTCTTCATCAGTCAGTGAAACCCATAACAGTTATTTTAGGTCAGCCAGCTACTTAGGGTGGTGTAGACTTCCTGCTTGGGGTCTTTAGGATCCTAAGAAGCAATGATCGATGCAATTGGTGATATGCCTCAAAATTGTTCTCAAGGGATCTGATGGAATCATTCTCTGTGATCTCCCCCATACATTAAACCCTAGGGCTTTTCCATGGTATTCTTTGTTTGTTACATGGAGTGTGGCAACTCTGACTGCTAGACTTCTGTGGAAAGTTCTATGTAGAAACTCAGTTATTAAGTCAGATCTACTTCTTAGTCGCTGAGTTCCAAACTAGGGTCAGACAGCTGTGCAGTACTTTGTCTTTTTAACTGATTCTGTTCGATACCCACTTCATATTGGAAACCATCTTTTTCTATTGATTTACTGTCGCATTTTAATATATTGCGTCGATACTATTGTGCAAATAGTTTCATTTTTAGGTTGAATATCCTATTCCTCTAGGGTTCTGATGATTACACTATAAAAATCTGGTCCATCAAAGGTTCGAGAAGTGCATCAGCCTGTACTTTACGGCACACTCTTCGAGGTCATGTTGCAGAAATAATTGAGCTTGCCATATCTGCAGATAATCACTTACTAGCCTCAATCGATTCAAATTGTTGTTTAGTCGTATGGTGCTTACAAACTGGTCAACCAGTAGTATCTGTACGCGGTTCACGTAATAACCGGGTGTTATCTGGTCTTGGTTTTCTTACTGTACCAAAAGTGGTGCTTTCTAAAGATGAAGGTAAGAAGTTACCTACTTTGATTCTTATTCCCGAAATTAATTCAACCATATCTGTTTCGTTAATTATATTCTGCTTTATTTCTACCAATAGTGATAGTTCTTCATTTTTTAATGTGTTTGTATTTTCCATTAGGAAGTTACTCATTTTATTCTAACTTTTTTATTATATTCGCCATTACGTCTGTAGTCGCAGATGTTTTTTTTAGTAGCAATATGTGGTATCACCCCAGTTCATCAGAAAGTATGTGGAGAATGCTACATGTTAAGCTGTAAATTTTATCTGCTAAATATTGTTATACTCTTAATAGTGTTTTTGAAGGAATAGCAATGTTTCAGTGTTGAAGAAAGAAATACTTCGCAAACATTGCAGTAGAAATTCCATAGTTTGTACTTGTGTGTGTATAAAGCTAGTGCTAGCCACGGTTATAGTTACAGATTCTAGACGACGTGATTTGATATCAAATTGCTACCCTAAGAACACCACATTACCTTACTGATAACCTTTGTTGATATTTTATTCTTAGTCGTCGGTAAACCTCTTCATTTTAAAGCATAATCCAGTCCACCACAATTAAGTGATATTTTGCTTAGCGTAGATAAGAGCATAACTCCGTGCCAGTTCTTGCAGAGGCCTAAGTCACCCTTCTTTGGTAGTTTGACAAGGTAGCCTTTCTTCCAATCAATACGTACTTTTCCTTGCCTCCAGACGTTTTTCAATAGTTGCGTAAGGATATCTGCTACGTTCTCATAGAACTGTTTTCAGTGCTTCAGGAGGGATTTCGTTCAGTCCTGCTGCCCTCCCAGTCTTCAGTAGCTTGATTGCATTCAAGATTTCCGCATTTTCGGAGGACTGGTGTCAGCTGGCAGTTCTCTGCCTGCTAGTGGTGGTATTTCTGGACGAGTTGCGGGAGTCCTTTGATTGGTTTCATTTGTATTGATCTCTTCCCGGACAGAGACCTGGTTATCTTATATAATGTTCTGAGGTCTCTTTTATCTGTGGCCTTTTCTGCTTCATTTGCAAGTATCGTAGAATTGTCTTTTGTCTCTCATAGCACTCTTCTTCACTTCTTTTTTCAACGCGATGTACATTGAACTCAGTTCCTTCTTGTGTTGTCCCTCTTTGCATTGGTTCATCTATTTCACCATCTTCGCTTCTATTAGCCTCCAGATATCTGCAGGGAGCTATTCTTTGTCTTGCCTATCTTTCTTCCTAAAACGACTGTAGACGCTTCCTTGAACATCACCTTGACAGAGCTCCAGTTTTATCCCATATAGTTTTCCTTAATAGTGCTATGTAGTGTCTCCGACTTTGCTCTGATGGCTGCAATAGAGGTATCTTTTGTAGTTTCATCTTCCAGTTTCTGAGTGTTGAACTTGAATTGTGGTCTGTTTCCAATTGCTTTGAAGGCTTTCAGCTTGACATTGAAGGTTCGTTGAACTAGGTGATGGTCTGAGATCACATCTGCTTCCCTTCTAGACGTAGTGTCTAGCAGACTGTCTCCACTTTCTTGAGCAACATTGAGATGAAGTCTGTTTAGTTTTCGGTGGGTCCGTCATGTGAAATCCATTTCGCTCTGTGTATATCCTTGTGCTTGTGCACGCTGCCTCCAATCACCAAATCATTGAAGGCTCAGAAGTCTGCGAAGAGTTCTACATTCTCATTCATTTCACTGAGAGCTTGTTGGCCCATGATGAATTCTCTTCACGCATTGTCTGCTCCCATTTCGGCTTGCATTCATATCGTCCATAGAGGTTTTGATGTTGTCATTTGAGATGTTGTCCATTACTGCTTGTCGTTATCTACAGAAATCTTCCCTCTTCTCTTGTTCCACGTTGTTTGTAGCACTGTGCGTAGCATTGGATAATTGTAAGCTTCCTTCCTTTTGAGTCGAATGTTGCTGTCATCATTATGGAAGAGATTGGTTCCCATTGCATAATAGCCTTGGATACTGTTGATGACATCATGATAGCCTCTTCTTCAGTGTGCTCGTGTTTTTCGCCTGGGTGACTGGAGTAAATTTTTTACTCTCCAGTTAAAAGTTTGGAGAGTCCAGTTCCATTCCGCTTACTGTCATAAATTTCTAGCACTCCTATACCGTATCTCCTATTTCCTAATTTCTTTGGCAACCTGACCATCTTTCTTAGCTTCATGCATTGTACGAGCATTCCAAGTTCCAGTGTTTATTTTTGCTTTCATCGAAAGAGGACACATCAGCTGACTGGCCTCCCTGGGTTTCACCAGTTCACATCATTTTGTCTCTCCGATTCCAGCAAAGAATAAGTTTCCTTCTTGTAATTTAGTTGTGTTTTGAAGTGTTCATAGCGATTGGATTGATTTTCCGGAGTAGAGTAGTTAACCCCACGCCCAACCTTACATCTTTCCCCGTTCTTAAACTCTGGGAATGTAGACTACCGAACTAATAAACCGGATGAGGTTAAGACTGAAATTAGCTACTGTTTCAATAAGAATGTTTCATTTTGATTGGAATGTTAGGGTGAAATAAGATATGCCGTTTTTGTAGGTGCTTTTACCGCTTCGCTTATTATGGAAGTTAACCATCGAACCTGTCAGATGAGGAAAGCTCAACACGAATGCAAAAACCCTTGTAATATTTATAAAACTAGCACCATCTTTGGTGTAGTGTGGATGTCATGCATGAAACTACCTATCGAGGGGCAAGTGTTATCAGCTCAGTCTTTCGTTCTGTTCGCTTTGTGAAGAGATAACACGTGGTCGTTAAAGTGTGGGAGACTTCAATGGAATACAATTTTTTAATCATATTTACACTTACATGTCAGATAAGACGTATCAATACAGCACTGTGATGTTAGAGTTAGTTAAGGAAGACTGGCCGATTCATGTGGTTATAAATCTCTTTCGATTGAGATGGTCGTTGCACGTTGCTCATAGTCTTCTTAAGAAAGACGTCAGCTGATGTAAGAATAAATTGACAGTAAGTTTTGGTTATCCAAATGAACCTGTGGTATCAATTCATAAAGTATAACGCTACTCAGTATTCATATGTTTTGTTTCCTATCATCCATATTTGTCCAAGATAGTTTTTATTCTTTCTTTTTTTCTGTTGTTGTAATTGACATTGTGGCATTTAAAATGAAATACTTCTTACAGGAAAAATACTAGCCGATGTCATTGGCGGGTGCCAGTCGCGCTATACCGTGAATTGGCAGAAGTTGGAATTCATGGTCAGGCTATTGGATTGGGTCCCAGTGGCTTAATGCTCTACGAGCTCTCCTTGTAGCCGAAAGGTCCTGGGGTCCGAACCCTGGAGTAGCAGTGTGTACGTACTGATGAAAAGTTCGAAACTAGGACGATAGGAACAGCTGTCCAGTACTCCATGATTGGTTTTCCAATGGTTCTCTAATCGATATCAGCTCATGATGAAATCCTATAGCCAAGTCGAATCGATGCAAACCATCACCTGAGGTACTTCTCTTTAAGATTCTCTTTTTAAAAGGTATGGTCGGTGTAGCATTACTAGTAGTCCTCATATGTACAGTACAGTACTGGCCAACTAAGTATGTGGTCCGGCGTTCGATCCCCCGCCGATGCACTCCTAGACCTCGTTAAGCTGGTTAGTAAGGTAGGTAAAGAGGGAAGGTTTGGCAAATGACTGGTATTCCCACGCCGTTAAAGTAAAACCATTGCTGCCGAAACTTCAAAGCTGAAGCTTAAAGTCCTATGTTTCACTCGGAACGTGATGGAATAAAGGCAAATGTGGTAAAATAGGATAAATCATAATTAGTTTTTGAGATAGCCGTCAGTCAAAGGCGCAAGACTTTTCATTGATTGTATTCAGTTCGAGAGGTTTGTCGTCACTTTATTACTTTATTCCTTTTTTTGTAGTTTTATCTGATTCCGGTGAGCGTAAGCATCCTTCTGGTATGCTTATAGTATCATCGTTTGGTGGCTTTCTGCACATAATACCATATATTCACACTGTTCGCTGTAATTATCATTATCGTCATTATCATTCTGGTGATGAGTTTGGTAGTGCAACGAACAGTACTGAAAACAGATGGATATGTTGTACTGTTGAATTACTTCCAGCAATTCGTTTCACAACAGCGTCTGAAGGTACTCCAAATGTATTTTGGCCATCCATTGCGTGTATTGACATTAGTCCCGGTAAGCTCTTTTTGTGACAAAAAATATCTTTTTTTTCCGTATACACACTTGGTATTTCCAGAGAGAAAATCGGATAGTCTGTTTTTTGAGATAACCGGCCTAAATGTTATGAGGATTTCGGTACTTAAATTTCAAGTGAAACGTTGTTATCTTCACATGAAACAACCCATTATATGACTGTGACTGCGTTTTGTATGTGTAAACAAACTTACACTATGACGATGGCTGCGCTTGGTCTAATTGCTGTCCAATGAACCTTTCTGGCATTGTATGACCTTCGGGAACTAATGTCAGTTACAGCCAGTTTAGCTCATTGCGATGTGCAAGCACGAGAGAGTTGCATTTAACTCACACTCATTGGACTCACTGGACTACTTCGTAGGTTCCCCACCTTGGTAGGTGGTTTCTCCTCATCCCACCAGCTTGACATTTCGTGTCTGTTTTCTACAGGTCAATTTGAATCATTTGTGTGATCGTGGAAAAGGGGGTAAGGGAGAAGGAGCTAAACACCGTCTCAAAGTCCTCCGTGTTAACATCTAACGTATCACAAAGCCAGCTATCTCCTGTCTCTTCCGTCGTGTTGGTGGTGGTGTAACACTCATCTTTGGTGTGATTTATGGATAGATTAGTGGTGTTTTCAAAGTGTTCTTGGAGAGTGGTATCTGTGACGCTGTGACATACACTGAGCATGTGGAGAGGAGAACTGTCATCTCTTTGGACGTTGTCTATGCTTTAAAATGCCTTGCTCGTACTGATTCGGGTTTTGTTGTCCACTTTTCCCACAGTTATTCGACTGAGAGATCACTTTTGAGACTAGTGAGTAGTTTGGGCACGACGAGAAAGTAACTAGGCTGGAACTATACTCTGCCAAAGTGCCCAAGTTCTATTCTTATATATCCGAGACCTAAGTGTTATTGAAATTATTTCCATAAGTATAAATCACATTAAGTCCAGTTGCTGTAACTGAACTAAATTCTTTCTAAAGTTAAATGTGTTGTGTGCCTGCGGCCTGGTTATCATATCAGATGTGCTCCTCTTTGATATTTTTTTTGAAATTTCTTTTGCTACTACTCTAGGTGGACTTTTAGTGGCAGCTGGTTGTTCAGATCAGAATATCCGTTTGTATCAATTCACGAATCCATTGAAACCAGAACCAGCTGGTATACTGGCTGCTCATGAGGTAAGTTCAATGTACTAATTGCTGAAACAGAGAAAAAAAGAAGCTACATTACTGGTTGATGTGAGTGGTATCCAACTCACTACTCATAGGAATCAATCAGTAGTATATATTTTTACGCAAAAATATAGTTCACTTTCTTGATTACCATATTGGGGTATGAAGTAGAACACATACATTGTGATCTGAATTGATATTGTCTCTAAAGGGAACTGGGGTAAAACTTTCACCCTTTCGAACTGTGTACATTTCAAAGTGGCTACACTAATTAGCAAATTGTTATTGCCATGATCTACACAATAGACTTACATTAATGGATCTCGGATATTAGCATTTCTGTTTCAGTCTATCTTCTGAGGTTTATAACAAATCAAATTTTTATGATGAGATATCCAACAATAATTGTCGCTAATCGATAGATATGTGTAGTCTCACTGGGGATCGCGTAGTTACTGTAACACAAGTGCAGGGTGGTGGTTGCACTCTTACTATTCTGACAGAAAGTAGTACATTGTTTGCAATTGGAAGTCTTTTACTGCTTCACTTACTCTAGCTAGTGCTCCACAAGGTGATGTTCTTTCTCTTTTTCTGTTATCTTTCTTCTTAAATAACTTGCTGCATTCTGCCGAAAGCAATTTTGTTAAGTGTGATGATGATTTGACTGCTTCTATGGTTGTTACTCCTCCATCCAGACTGTTTCGAATGAATAGCTTTTTTTATGAGAAATTAGTCAGTGGTCCCTTTCGAATAGTCTTAAGCTAAATCCCTCCAAATGTCAGTCAGGTGGTTAATTTCACTTTCAAAGTCAAGTGCATTCGTATGGTTGTAGTATCATAGGGGGGGCACTGAAGTAGAAACTGAGTTGATACCTAAATACCTTTTGTTTGACATTGTATGTTAGGAAGTTAAGACGATCTGGTGTCACACAGTCTCTACTTTTACAGTTCGTTAATTCTTGTATTCTACAGATATGGGAAAAGTTTGTCTGCATTCTTTCTCGTGTCGGGTGGAATATTGAAGTTGGGCGTCAGTTGTGTTAGGTAAGGAGGGGAAATCAACCGACGAGGTTGTGAAACAGCTGCATCGATTTAGATGGTTAGGACATGTGTTACGTATGCTGTATGCCTAGTCATCGCCTTCCTCGACGGACAATGTTAGCTGACATAGATTAGATCAGGCTGGAAAAGGGCTAGTTAGTAGTGGTCAAACCAAAACATGGTTTCATCAGTCAATGAAATCCACAACAGTTCGTTTAAGCCAGTCACTTCAGGAGGTGTAGACTTCTTGACTGACTGGTTGGGGTCTTCGGAAAGGTGAAAACCAATGTAGGCTGGAGACACTTGGTGATATATGGCTGATAATCATTGTTGTCAATGGCTGGCGCAGAGGCATACACTCCTCGTGATTTATAATATCCAATAAGACTATATGATTCTTCGATATTTCTATTCTTTTTGCCTCATATGTCTGTTTATTATCTCTCTTTCTTTTAAATCTCTGTCCACTGTCTTATCTTGATTTGTGTGCTACATGGAGGGATAGTGGCCACTTGAGCTGCTGCACATCAGTGCAAAGTTCTATGTCGAAACCAGTCAGTCAGTTATTGATTAATTAACCGGGATTTTTCTCAACCTATTATGAATCTGTAATGACAGTCGACTTAAAGTGAAAAAAACAGTCTACTTACTTTTACTTTACTTCGGCTATCTCCTACGGGAGGATGAGCCGGCTTTATGAACATCTCGAATCATCGCTGCCCAGGAGAGTCGTTTGTAAGTGAGTTTATGAAGTTTCATGGGAATTTGGTACGAGTGATGTTCCCAAAATCGCTCGGCCTTTTGTTTGAGAGTGCAGCTCTAGCCTTTACACAACCGTGTGACCTACAAGGCAGTAGGAGTGGAGTAGGGAGTCCACTATCCATTGGCATCCGGTGACCGGAGTTCGGTTCATACGCCTTTTTGAATGGGGCCAGACATCCAAGACATCCAGCAAGCCCTTTGTCCATACGTCTGCCGGTGAGCTCCAGTCAGCTTCATACGCCAGTCGTTGGAGGTTTGGAATCAGGGTTTAGCCATCTCCCCTAGACTGTCATCCAATGGACAGTCAACCCGGTGAAGAGCGCCAGGCATCCGCTCTCGCCCTCTCACATGGGTGAATAACACCTCCGCCACGTGAAGGCAGTGAGTAGGACTTCCTCAGGAGAGGCTATGTAAGACGCTCGGTCATATGGGAGCATTTGAAGAGGTGTGCGGAGGGGTGGCCGACCTGCAGCGCAAGGCACCCACCCCCAACCATCCTGAGGCTTTGGAGGCAAAACAGTCGGTCATTAATGTCTAACTTATTTCATTTATTTACTTATTTCATTATATAATATTTGTTGTAGGAAAGTGTCAACAGTGTAGCATTTAGTCATTGTGGACTAAAATTAGCTACTGGCAGTTCAGTTGGTGCAAGTTGTTGTTTATGGAGACTTCAAGCTGGTCAATGGAGAAGTATGAAGTTACAATTTGGTAAAAGGTTAGTCGTGTGTGTATATCCTTTCACATGAAGGCTTTTTTCATTCTTTTTTTTCATTTCCGAGTTACTGCCTTATAGAATTGACATTTCTGACTGGTAAATAGTAATGTGGCGTGTACTACTGACAAAATTTATAAGTAGTATATAAATTCAGGTATAATTATATATATCAGCTGTAAGAACATCAAATAGCAGAGAGATGGAATTCAGTGAAAGATTCTTGTTTAAAGCAACATGAAAAACTTGAGAGGAAAACAAAGAAGCACAAGCGAATTGTGATTCAAAAGTGTCATTGTTGTTCCCCTGGATTCCGAGTGGAACACGTGTAGGGCTTCAACAACACATCTCCGCTTTGTCCGATTCTCTGCGGTCTTCCACAGCTAAAGCTGTCATCTCCTCCATTTTAGCATCGGACTAACGCCCAACTCGTCTTTTCTCATTCGGGATGGCCTGACGTGCTGTGTCACCCGACGTTCTCTTCAACATGTATCCGATCCATCTCTACTTTCTTCGGCATACTTTTCGATTGATTGGGTTCATCCGCAGAGTTTCTTGTTGCTCGTTGTTTCTGGTCGTCCATTTGGTCTTCACTATGGAGTAATGTGAAGGCAGTTATTGATAAAAGTCTCCAGTGGTGGTAGTCTGTAAGAAATGCTTATGGTGACACGCGTCCTAAGTTTCTGACGTATATAGAAGAACCAACCGACTGACTTAACATTGGTGTGTTTATATGTTGTATAGTAGCCGTAGAAGCTTCTGGTAGACAAACTTTTAAGCAGGCCGCCAAGTATTCTTGTTGTTAACTATGGTGGTTTATTTAAAACAGACACCTATACATTCATACTCACATTTTTTAAACCAAAAAAATCATAAAATGCAGGTACATCCAGATGACGACTTCCAAAATAGGACGAAATGCGCATCCTGAATTCCATTGCTAGTCACCCACCATCACCACCAATTGAAAACAAACTTATTTTGAATTATTATTTTTTAGAGTGAAATGTCGTCCGTGTTTATTAGTCTGGTCTATACACGATCAATATTTAATCGCTTCCATGAAGAACGGATCTGTTTATATCTATTTTGGACATAGTGGACAATTGGTCACAGTGATTGATGTAAGCAAAAAACGTGTGTTGTGATTTGTTTTCTTTCATGTGCCATATTCAGCATATTATTTGCAGCTTCTCTCTCCCTCTTTCTCCCTCAGGGTATATTTGTATTTTACGAGTTGATCACGGATTGATATCAGTTAGAGAACCATTGAAAGGAAAACAAGGAAGTACTGGATAGCTGTTGCATCCCAGTTTGGGAAACATCGGCAGTACGCATCCACCACCATAGTTCGAACCTAGGACCTTCCGGTTGCAAGTCAAGCTAGCTCGTATACCATTCAGTCACTGGGACCTGACTCCTCAATGGCCAGCCCATGAGTTCTAACTTTTACTGCCGACGATTCCCAAACTAGGATGAAACAGCTGTCCAGTACTCCCTGGATGGTTTTCAACTCGTAAAAACAAATGTAATCCTTACAAACCAACTATTGAAAAGTATATTTGTATATTTTACGCCATTTTGTGGTTTATTAGGTGTGAAATCCGTCTATGTTGTGCAATAATGTTTACTGATGATGATGTTTCGAGCACAAATTATTGCTCATAATCATATCAAGGCATTCACACAATTTTATTGCTTCATTTATATACATGAGTTAAAAAAAATTGATTATGAGCAATAATTTGTGCTCAAAACGTCATCAATAAACATTACTGTACAACGCTGTGTGATTTTATCCGTAATGGAGTTATACGCTACCACAGTGCCTAAGTCTTATCCTTATATCAGTGAAATTTGGCCGGCTATCGATCAAAGGACGTGTGTACTGCACAGCACCAATTCACTCCGTCCTGCTTTATAGCTGTCAGTGGAACATGGTCACTGAAAATGAAAGACATGGAAAGACGAACTAGCTATCTTTGATCATAGGTGTCTGCATCCTATCTCCCACGTTAGGGTGAGTAATATATTGAGGTGAGGCATCGGTCGAGTGCTACGTAAGGAGGGAAAATCAAACGACGAGGTTGTGAAACAGCTTCATCGATTGAGATGGTTAGGACATGTGTTACGTATGCTGTATGCCTAGTCATCGCCTTACTCGACCCACAGTGTTGGCTGACAGAGTAGGATCAAACTGGGAAAAAGTTCGTGGTGGTCAAACCAAAATATGGCTTCATCAGTCAATGAAATCTATAACAGTTAGTTTAGGCCAGCGAGCCAGCCACGTAGGATGAGGTGTAGACTCCTGGCTGGTTAGAGTCCTCAGGATTCTAAGAACCAGTGACTGTAGACAAATGGTGATGTGGCTGAAAATCGTTGTCAATTGCTGATGGAGAGGTATTCACTCTTTGTGATTTGTCATACATAATTAAACTCCCTTCTTCTTCTTCTTCCATATTAGTACTATTCTTTTCACCTCACTCACCAATCAGTATGGCCTTAGAAGCAGTTAAAAAAAAATTAACTGCAGACCCTGAACTCACTTATAGGACGAAACTACCCATTGATGAAATTATTTTAGGAATTCAGTTGTGCCTCACATCTAATATCTTTAAATTCCAAGGCAAAATATATAGACAAACGGAAGGTGTAGCAATGGGATCACCAATATCCCCTATCGAAGCAGATATATTTATGGATAGCTGGGAAAATATGGTACTTAATACGTTTAATCCTACTCCAAAAATATGGTGGAGATATGTGGATGACACTTTCACAGTGTTAAAATCAGAACATATCTCTAGCTTCTTGACACACATAAACTCACTAGTGGAGGGAATAAAATTCACATTTGAAGCCGAAAATGAGCAAGGAGAATTAGCTATGTTAGATTGTAAAATAAAACGAATAGAAGAAGGCAAACTACACACTAGTGTTTATAGAAAGCCAACGCATTCTAATAGATATTTAGGTTTTAATTCGTCGCATCCGTTAACTGTTAAGGCAGGCTTAGTTAAGTGTCTAACAAACCGAGCCATAGCACTAAGTAGCACAAAAAAAGACCTAAACGACGAGATAAAACAGATAGAAGAAGCGTTGGTGTTGAATAATTATCCTTTAAAATTCATTAGGAAGATAACTAAAAGCCAAAAACGAAATAAAAATAATTATGGAACTAGTAATGATAACATAAATAAGAGAGAATATAAGTCATCCACTGTTATACCATATAAGGAGGGGACATCTGAGACCCTACGTAGGATTCTGAATAAGGCAGGAATTAGAGTGGCATTTAAACCTACAAACTCACTCAGGGACAAGCTCTGTAGGTTAAAGGACCCAGTGGACCCAATTAGACAAAATAATATAATTTACAAAATACCCTGCAATGACTGTGAGGTCAACTACATAGGTCAAACTAGTAGGTCAGGAATAGTCAGATTGTCAGAACATAAGAATTTAGCTAAGGTAAGAATGGTTGACCCAGAAAAGATAAGTAATTTAGAAAAAAGCTCGGCAATTGCAATGCATGCATTAACACACAACCACACAATAGGGTGGGAGAGGGTTAGAATTCTAAAAAGTAATCTAGGTAGGTAGAGAGAGAGGTTGATTAGTGAATCTTTGTTCATCGAATCTACACCCAACACATGCAATAGGAATGATTCATCATTCATACCCGAAATATGGAAAATAATACTACCAATCAAATCAAGTGAAAATCAAGTGAAAAACAATGGAACTATATAAATGAATTTAGGAAGTCGTGTGATTACCTTGATATGATTATGAGCAATAAATTGTGCTCGAAACGTCATCAGTAAATATTACTGTGTAACACTGTGAGACTTTAACAAAATAAAATTTACCCATAATGGAATTGTCTGTCTTTTGTTGAATCTCTCATTACTCTCTCTCTTCTCTTGCTTAATGTCCTCGAACTGGTGCATACCTGTGCAGAGTAGTTCTATGCTGAAACGAGTGTGTCAGTCAGTCAGACGTATTTGTATATTTTAGCAGGTTTTCATTACAAGATAAATAAATTTGTGAGAATTTTAAGGTAGTGTTTGTCATCTGAAATTAGTTTCTCATAAGAAATATTTATTTCACCATAGGAAAGAATTTAAAAATAAGCAACCAAAATTTAATAATTTAATAATTTAAGGAGTTAATGAATTCATCAGGTTTCAGTTGAGAACTCTTCAGTTGCTTTCACAAACACACTCGAGTTGGCATACACAGTTTGAAGCGTTGAATAGATTGCCCACCGGATTGTTGATGCACCCGCTGAAGAGTCCTACTGAAATTTGATGAATTCATTAAATCCTTGCTTTATGCTAGGCTTTGTTACTTGTTTCAACACTTTTCATGAGTTGTCTATTTCATCTAAATTCTAAAGTTTTCTGCATGTGTGTGTATATATCCAGAGTGTGAAGAGATAGTTGACCCCTTGTGTCGTTTTGTTTACGTAACTACGCATCTCTAGTCTTCTGTGTTATAGTGCTTAACTGACTACTGCTTCTTGGGAACTGTTCCAAGCTTCTGAGGTTTATGTCATGTTAGTAATTTATCTGCTACGTGCTCCACACTGTCGTACGCTGCCTTTTCCTGACCTTTCAGCAGCCTGTCTAGCACAACTACCTTCGCCGTCGGATCCTTGATGCCCACCAACTTACTCAGTGAGAGGATCTAAGTTCCCACAGGGATCTCACGGTGTCTCCTTTTTGGAAAGCGGTGGGCCATGGAACCTTCACTGTCTGGAGGTAGTGACACTAAATATAACGGGAGAAGGCAAGAGAGTTGATAACGGACTTTCTTATTGAAGAAAATCACGCTATATTTATACATATTTTAGCCATATTTTCGGTTGGCGAGGTCAACGGTTAGTGAATTGTCCTGATAGGTTGCTGATTTTCTGAAGGTTAAACCCTGAGATTATTCCCTGAACACAACGTAAGCAGCTTGATCGAGATTCGAGAAATAAACTCTTCCTCTTACTTATGTAGCCACTAACTTAAAATGTTTGCAGTTGTGGCTACCTTGTGTCAATCTGCATCAGTAGGACTTCAAGCTAGAGACTTGAAGTTTCGGTAGCAGTGGTGTTTATTTCTACAGGATGGGGTTGCTAACCTCATGACCAACCTTGCCTCGTTACCAGTCTTATTACTGACTTAGGGGGAGGTAAAGAAGCGTGTCTGCTGGGGATCGAACCTCGAACCACATGCTTGGTTGGCGAGCATTCCACCGCTGTGCCACCGACGTATCTGCTTCTGTATACTAATGACAATTCTTGCCAGTGGTACACGCCACACTTGGATTTCATCATTCTCCGGAAATGGAACCAATATTAAAGTGGTGTGTAGTTAAACGAATGTGAAGTGTGACGTATTGGCTTAATCATTCGTCTGTCAGCTAGTGGTTCCGGGATTCAAATCCAGCTCAATCAACTTCAGTGCGGGCAACTGAGTAGTATCATTAGTCTTCACACAATAGTTGTATTATGGCTTGTAGTCGGCTGCATTAGAGACATCATTGATATTTTTGTTACTTTGGGTTCCGAGTGAACACACAGGACTTCAACGGCACATCCCCACTTTGTCTTGTTCTCTGCGGTCCTCCATAGCTCGCCCTACGGTTGTCAATGTGCTCTCATCTCCTCCCAGCATAATCTCCTTCATGTTGTCCTCGGATGGTGTCGTTTCCCACTTGGGTTCCACTCGAGGACGTCGCGGGCGGTACCATTTGATGGTCTTCTTAGAGTGTGTCCGATGTACCTCCATTTTCTTCGACATGTTTATTGATTGGCTCGTTCTCAGGGTTTTTAGCTGCTAGTTCCTTATGGTAGGATACCTATTCTTCACTATAGAGCGAAGGTAGCTGTTGATAAATGTATGAAGCCGGTTAGAAATGCCTGTGGTGATGCCTGCGCCATATCTGCGACTCATATAGAAGAATTGACAGACTTCACATTAGTTTTGAAACTCCAAATTTTGTTCTTTGTGCTGAGTGCAGCTTATTTCCAAACTGACTTCAGAGTGATAAATGTCTGTCTTACCTTTCCAATTCTGTTGCCACTATCCTTATAAACGTGTCTTCTGTAGTCGAAACGATGCCTCTCAGATAAATGAAGGAAGTAACCTTTTTCATGTATATCCCGTTGACAAGGATTAGTTATCTTCATTACCTCTGTTTCCTCTATGTTTACTTGAAGTCCTATCTTCACCGCCCACATCCTCTTCTAACTTGTTGGTTTTCGCCTGTAAGTTTTCAAGTTTGTATGACGACATTGGACATAAGTCATCCGCGAAATCCAGATCTTCTAGAGTCTTCTTAACAGCCCAACATAGCCCTGTCTTCCTCCTCACAGTCTTTCGCATAATCCAGTCCACCAAAGTTAGTAATATCATCGTGGTTATAGTAGGCACGCTTCTCTTATTCCTTTATCCTTCTGGAATCACCTTACACCCACCATTATCATATAACTGTTGAATGAGGTTGATTTCGAATAAAACGGTTTATTTCGATATGGATTTTGGAGAGTATGTTATTCGTTAATCTAATATTCGCCGAAATCCGCCTATTTTTTTCCCCATAATTTCGATTACTATTCATTCATACTTGACGTGAACACAGTTTCACATCAAAATTTAAAACGTTTATATTTATCACCAGCATATCTGTGTCTACACGATCTGCCTGCACATCGTTGCCCCAGCGGTTAGGACGCTCGCCGATCATACACATTGTCCGGGGTTTGATCCCCGGTTACTGGACGCACACCTGATATCGATATTCGACCTGTTGAATTCGGACTACCGACATCACATGCTGAAAATAACATACTTGTACCGAAATACTGTGTTGAATCAAGCTATAATAAAAAATATTTTCATAGGTGTAATCCAACAGTTTGTGATGATTTGTAAATCCCGTTAATTTACGCAGCGCACATCTACCTTTGCCAGACTCGGCGTTGTCCATAGTATGTTAGTATAGTATATATATTTGGTCGATAGTCAAAGGGCGTGTGTACTGCTCAACAGTCCGCTCCGTCCTCCTTTATTGCTGTGAGACCTGGCCATTGAGAGCAGAAGACATGAAAAGATTAGCTGTCTTCGATCATAGGTGTCTGCGTTCTGTCTCCCTCGTGAAGTGGTATAATAAGGTGAGCAATATTGAGGTTAGGCGTCGAGTGGTAGGTAAGGCGGGGAAATCAGTCGACGAGACTGTGAAATTACATCGACTGAGATGGTTAGGACATGTTCTACGTATGCCTAATCATCGCCTTCCTCGACAATGGGCAATGTTATCTGATATAGGGTCAGGCTGGAAAAGAGCTAGCGGCGGTCAAACCAAAACATGACACCAGTCAATGAAATCCACAACAGTTAGTTTGAGCCACGTAGAAAGGTGTAGACTTCCTGACTGGTTGGGGTCCTCGGGATGGTAAAAACCAATGGTTGGAAACAATTGGTGACATGGCTCAAAATCGTTCTCAATGGTTGGCGCAGATGCATCCACTCCTTGTGACTTATGATTTCCAATTAAACTGTTTTGTTCTCCGTTATTACTATTCCTTTGTCTCACACCTCTGTTTACTGACTATATTATGCATTTCTTCTACTTTCTTCTCTTGCTTTGTGTGCTACTTGGAGGGAGTGTGGCGACTTGAACTGCCGCACATATGTGCAAAGTTCTATGTCGAAAACCGACCGACCGATAGTATATTAGTCAGCCAACTAGTTGATAATTGCCAGATTCATCCTCTTATCTTGTCACTTTCTGTGTAGTCCCGTTTATTTGTTTATGATTTCTTTTCATCATGATTTCAGGGACATGAAGGCGCCATTCATGCTGTCTCTCCATCACCATTCGATGAAAATATTTTAGCCACAGGTGGAGTTGACGGTCGTTTTCAACTCTGGAATATCTCAAATCTTCGACGTTATGAACAACAGCACAAAAAACAGTATGATGAAGAGAATCATCTATTTGATGAAACTGGTCATGCATCATCGACAGAACAGCCTCTCCTGTTTCATCATCGTTTCCCTCCTAGTGAATTGGATGTTACACAAGGCTTAGTATGGCGTTTTAACGATCCAACAGATGATCAACCGATATGGCCTCGTCGAATCCCGAATCCTTTCATTCGTAGAAATACGCGTGAACAGTCGATGGTGGTGGCTGTAGATCAGACGACGAATTCGACAAGTGAGAATATCACTGGTACTGCTAGCGGTAGTACTACTAATACGTCTAATCATTCATCATCCCTTCGTACACTGACAGAATCTCGTTCTACTTCGGGAACAAGAGGAGGTGGTGGTGGTGCAACAAATAGTAGTAATACAAAATTACAACGAATAACCGCCTGCCGTGTATTACCTACAGCTGAAGGTGTTGGATTCCTTGTGGTGACAAAGAGTGGTGTCATGTCATTATTTTCTCCATCAGAAGAATCTACATCTTACACTCCTCAGGTGAGATTACTATTATTTTTGTCATCATTTATATTTGAGATGAGGAGAGGAGAGGAGATAACGTGTGATCCGTCTCAAGCAGTTGGTCTCCTGGACACCAATGCTCCTGTTTCAGGCCAGCCAGTCAGTTAATCTGACTTGTCGAATGGCTAATTGAGTCGTGATATTAACGTTCTGGGTTCGACCCCTAATAGCTTCAGAGGACGATACTACTGAAGAGTCCCAAAAATAGCAATAAACAACGATTTTAATTGTCTTACTAAGATAAAGTGAAGTGAAAATTAGATTCACATTGTATAATATAGATAACGATGGCCACAATGCAGTGTGATTCAAAATCCATTTGTGTCAGACATGTGTAGGTTCATGTAGGTTCACCTATTTATGAACCAAAACTGCTTTTTTTTTCGAGACAACAATGCTGATTAACAGTGGGGTTAGATAGGGTTGTTCAATCTTTTCATTTCTCCTTAACTCTGCCATTGGTGAAATTCTGGAGTCAGGTCTGAAGGACGTGCGTGGTGCTGTTGGCGGTGTAGATCTACTTCCTGGAGAAAAACTTTTCCATCTCGAGTATGCAGACGATATTGTCTTACTGTGCAATAGCATGCAAACTGCCTAAATCGCGCTTAATCAGTTTGCAGTCAGTGTCTAAGTGCAAAGTACTGTTACAAGATTAGCTGCCGGGAGCCTGTACCTGCACTCACTCTTGCAGGTAAACCACTTGAAGTTGTCGACGGAGGTGTGACTGACGAGATTTCTGACGGTATCATAAAAGCTAGGGTGGCATGCGCTAATCTCAACCACCTCTGGAGCCGTCGTGACGTTAACTTGGCTGTCCAAGGTCTGGTTTACAATGCTTCGAGCCTCGGTGGGAACATCATCACTCACTGGGGAATGCAAGATAAATCCAGATGACGACTCTCGAATCGGACGAAATGCACATCCTGGATTCCACTGCTAGTCACTATCCACCAATTAACTTCTGATTACATGCCCATAGCATCTGCACAAGAAGCACTTCGGTCCAATCAATTGACAGGAGGGTCTAGAATTGAATTAAATATTATTCTAGTCCTTTTTGACATCCCCGTTTTCCTCTCATTCGTCTACCACTTTTTTTTGCTACGTGGAGTTTGGCGAGTTGAACTGCTTCGTCTACACTTCTGTAGAATGAGGTTCTATGTTGAAATCAATCAGTTAGTCAATGCCTCAGACAATTTCTGTTATCTGTGTTTTATAGAAGTGTTGTTCATATTTCTTTGGTGCATTTTCTTTTACTTTTATTTTAGTCCAGTAACGTTGAGTCAACACCATTAGTTGATGAACAATTCCTTCACTGGGAATTGGATACAGCCGAATGGAGAGAAGTTGTACCACAGATGTCTACAATGCATAACAACAGTGATTCCAATCTACTTCGTATATATGAGAATACATTACACGTATTAGGAAGTCCTCCAGCACAACAAACTATCTCTCCAGTGTCAAATACGCGAGTTAATTCATCACGAAGAAGGTTACAGAACAATAGTATCAATAATAATAATAATAATAATAATAATAATAATAATAATAATAATAATAATAATAACAATAATAATATTGACTTCAATAATAATAATAATAATAACAGAATATCAGATCCATCTGATGTCAACAATAGTGTTCGTTATACACCTCCACCTTGTGTCCTGTACGAGATTGTACATGCTCCAAGCGGTGTACCATTTCATCGATTACCACCAGGTTATTTAACAAATTTCAGAGGATTTCCATATCCATCTAGACGTCAAAAACAAATACCAGGTCGTAGTCATTTAGTAGAACCTCTGGATTTATTGCCATCAGTTACATTAGATGAAGAAAGTGAGTTGTTGTCATCGTTGTTTTTTTTTCAAATGAATAATAAGCATAATTTAAGTAGTATCTGTCGTTGTGAAGCTTTTATTGTAGAAGTTTTACTTTTATCCTGCCATTCTTAGTGTCACCTTGTGGGGTGGTAGTGGGCACAGGTGAACATTTAATGGAGGTATTCGTAAACTACTCTCAGTTTTGGATTGGCTGAATTTACGTTATATGTCTAACTTTGAAACAATTCTGTGTATGGTTGTAAAGTGCATACGTGATGCCCACATATTATCTGCTTCTAAATGCTGTACTAGTTTTCCCTGTGTCTAATTCTCCTTTTCTGGTATCAAACATAATATTATTGCTTCCTTTAATTCCTAGAGGAACATAGGGCTTCAGCCGTGCGTCTCCATTGTGTTCGGTTCCCTGCTAGAGTCTTCACCTGGCTCCAAGTCTGCCCACACGCTTTCATCTCCTCTTCACACGACCTCCTCCAAGTCACCCTTGCACTGACGACCAACTCGCCGCTTCCCTTTCGGGTTCCACTCGAGCGGTGGCTTGTCTAGTGATGTCACTTGATGCACCGTTTGCTCAGAGTATGGCCAGTCAATCCATCTCCATTTCTTCCTGCCTATTTGTTTCACAATCGGTTCCTGGTTGGTTCGCTCCCAGAGGTCTCTGTTGCTGATCTTTTCTGGCTGACCATCTGATCTTGAGTATTGAGCGAAGAGAACTAATAATGAAGGTGTGTAGTTTGTTTGAGATGCTCTTTATGACGTGCCGGTCAAGTCTCTGATCCGTACAGTAGCACTGACTTCACATTGGACTTGAAAATCCGGATCTTATTTTTGATTCTGAATGCTGTTGACTTCCACACGGACTTGAGCAAAGTGAAAGCTTGTCTTGCTTTGATATCCTCGTCAGTTTGCCTGTAGGTATCAAACATAAGGAAATCTGTATGTTTTGCATACGTGGACCTTCATGGGAAACCGCTTATTACAGCCTGTTTGGTGAATCCATTTGAGTGATTTAAACTTATTTAGGTATCGGAAAATCCCCATGAAGTCTAAACCATTAAAACCGCTCACACTTTCTACTCCCGTAAGACTTCTACTTGACTCTACAATTCAATGGAGACTCATCATCGGCAGAAATACTGAAAAACCATTCACCTATTCCACTCATTGGAGAAAACATTCTTCATGGTTTAACTTCGAATTTCTCTATAAAACTAATGATTCTCACGGACGTGAACGTGGATAAGCTACCACGACTGGTTACCTCATCAATGTGCATTTATCACTTCATCTACTCGTGTGGAACTAAGTATGTCGACCCTACCTAGAGTTCGCCATCCGAACATATCACTGAACACTCAACCTCTAATGCTTTTATAAAGGTGAAAAGAAATCCACACCACACCTCACCACAGTAACTCTATCCTGGAACACCTCACATCGAATCTGGACACCAAGTTAACCCCCCACAAAGTAACTTCAAAGTTATTTACCTGAAATGTTTGTCGTTCATCATCGGATAATTCATATAAAGCATGGGTTCTTTGTGATATGTTTTGTTCAAGTTCGCGTGTGCGTGAACGGATGGCGTCAATGTGATTCACTGTGTGTGTGACGTTTTAGTGTCTTTAAATTAGGGTAAATATGATTCCGATTCCGATTGTACAGCTCATGAAAATGAAGCGTCGAAAAGAAAATTTTCTTCGCTGTTTGTGCCGTTTTCTTATAACTCAATATGGGAATATTTCGTTCATTTAATGAACACTCATTTGAGTTGTTTCAACTAAGATGAATAAGAACTGTTCTCATTACTCTTTTTCTATTTTTTCTATTTTCACTATTTCGCTTCTTCAGCTGATGAAGATATCGTTGTGGATGATATTCAATTTTGTTCAAATATTCCACCAGATTATTGTCCATTACCACAATTATCAAATAATGAACCAGTACATGGTAAAACGTATTTATGGTGTTCCCCGTGGTTAACTAATCAAACACCATTAATCGAGTCATTTGAAGGAGAAGAGTTGAAGTATGTGATGCTTTTTTTACATCATAGGTTTATAATTTTGTCTTTTTTTCATGTGATGTGGGGGCGTATGCACTGCTCAACAGTTCGATCTGTTCTCCTTTATGGCTGTGAGTGAGACATGACCATTAAGAGTAGAAGACATGAAAAGGCTAGCTGTCCTTGATCATAGGTGTCTTTGTTCTCTCTCCTGTGGTCAACTGGTATGATGAGGCCAGCAATATTGAGGTTAGGCATCGGTCGAGTGCTATGTAAGGAGGGGAAATCAACTTGTGCCACCTCTGGCGCCGTCGCGACGTTAGTCTGGCTGTCAAAGGTCGGGTATGCAATGCTTCGGTGCGGGCTGTCTTGCTCTACGCCTGTGAAACCTGGCCTCTCCAAGCTGAGGATGTGGGGCGACTCTGCGTGTTCGATCATCGCTGTCTCCACAGGATTGCTTGCGTTCGTTGCCATCATCGCGTGAGTAATTCTGAGGTTCGGCGGCGTGTGTTTGAACACAGTGGAGATCACCATTGATTGAGTGTCGTCATCTGGAAACACCAGCTCCGGTGGCTTGGACATGTGCTGCGAATGTCATCCCAGAGGCTTCCGTACAGGTCTCTGTTCGCTAGCCCTGGGACGGGATGGAAAAGGTGGAGGGATGGTCAGTCCATGACGTGGCGTCGTGGGATGAAGGATATTTGTGCTAGATTAGCATCAGTTGGTGTGTCACGACTCCCTGGTTGGGGTCCGCGAGATAGCTCGAATCGATGGCTCCAAACGTTATCGGATATGGCCAAGAATCGTAATCAATGGCGAACGTGCTGCAATTTCCTTCTTTCTTCCTTTCCTGATGATAGTTAACGAATACTGTTTGAACTTGTTAAACATGACTGTTTTCCTTCTTGATGAAATTCTTTATCCGTTTTCTACTTATATTTTTACTTTTAATCTATGTTGTTTTATTATTATTGTGTGGCGCATCTTTCTTGGTGGCATATTGTACCAAGTTTTTCTGCGTTTAAATAAATGAATAAATAATAAGGAGGGGAAATCATTCGGCAAGGTTCTGAAATTACATCGGGTGAGATGGTTAAGACATGTGTTACACATGCCTGAATAGCCATCTCCATCCTCGACGGGCAATGTTAGCTTACATAGAATGGATCAGGTTGGAAAGGAGAAAGCTAGTGGTGGTTAAACCAAAATATGGTTTCATCAGTCCATGAAATCCATAACACTTCGTTTAATCCAGCCATGTAGAGAGGTGTAGACTTCCTGACTGACTGGTGGGGGTCTTCAGGATTGTAAGAACCAAATCAAGGCTGGAGACACTTGGTGATATATGGCTGATAATCATTGTTATCAATGGCTGGCGCAGATGCATCCACTCCTTGTGATTTATAATATCCAATAAAACTATATGATTCTTCGATATTTCTATTCTTTTTGCCTCATATTTCTGTTTATTATGTCTCTTTCGTGCGTCGGTGGCACAGCGGTTAGGATGCTCGCCGACCATGCACATGGTCCGGGGTTCTATCCCCGTCCGGCGCACTCCTCTACCTCGTTAAGCCAGAACTGAAGCTGGTGAAGAGGAAAGGTTGGGCATGAGGCTAGCAACCGCATCCTGTAAAAATAAACACTGCTGCAGAAACTTCAAGCCTCTAGGTTGAAGCGCTATGTTCCACTGGGAACGTGAAGGAATAAAAAAAATGTCTCTTTTGAATCTCTTTCTACTCTCTTTTCTTGGTTTGTGTGCTACATGGAGGGAGGGAGAGTGGCAACTTGAAATGCCGCACATCGGTGCCAAGTTCTATGTTGAAAGCAGTCAGTCACATGTTTCGAGGGGACGTCTTTTAGCTTACTTAATACTTAATTCTGAAAAGTTGGTGGTTCTTATCCACTTTGCCGGATCTGGTGTGGACTTCGGTTGAAGTGAACTCCGCCAGCTGGAAAATACTGGATTCAGGAAAGGCAAATCATATGTTGATCGTATTGCAACTCTACGCATCATCATATTCATCGAACAAAGCATAGAATGGCAGTCAAATCTCTAACTGAAGTTCATTGACTTTGAATAGAGGCCTTCGATAGCACTGAACCGCGAAGTAATTTGGAAACTACTTCAACGTTGTGGAGTGCAGTGCCCCAAATCTTTATCAACCCCATTCAACCAACAGCTATATGACAATACCATATGCGAATATATCCACAACAGAAAACTCAGCGATGTATTTGAAGTGAACACAGGAGTAAGACTAGGCTGTCTGGTTTCTACGAACGATGATATTCCTAATTATGGTGGGCTGAATTATGCAGCGAGAAAACATGAATACGTCGGATCAATAAGGAAACTCTAGAAAATGTGGACTTTCCGGATGTTTTATGTTTATTTTCCTATAAACTGTAAGACTGACATGCAGAAACCAACAACTTGGCAGAAAAGACTGTCAACAAGAGCAGGACTTCAAGAGAACACGGAGAAGACAATGATGAAGACATTTAGTCAACAATAATAAGCATCAGTTACCATCAGTGGGAGAAGTTTGAAAGAGCTCACTTCCTTCACTTATCTGGGGAGCATCATTTCAACTGCGGGCAGTTAGAGTACCGATGAGGAACTCAAAGCAAGCCATTCAGTTTCGGGAAGGCAAGGCAGACCTTAATGACTCTGAAATCAGTTTGGAAATCTTCTGCAGTCACTCAACATGAACAACTAAATTCTGATTTTCAACACTAATGTTAAGTCGGGCAGTTCTTCTCTATGGGCCAGAAACTTAGCCAGTGCGTCACGACACGCATTTCCAACAGACCACTGCAGAAGTTTTTTTTTCAACAACTTGTTTCGCTGTCGATTGAAGATTAGACGGCCAAAAAGATTTAGCAACAAGAAACAGGGTGAACAAACCAACCAAGAACCTATTGCTCAACAAGTATGCCAGAGAAAATGGAGACAGACCGGACACACGTTGATGAGACCATTTGGTGACATCGCACACCTGGTTATGGCTAGGGTGAAACTCTAACGTGAAATGACGAATTGGGCGTTGGTCTGTAGTTGTCATGTAGAAGGTGGTCGTATAGGGAGGAAATGAGAGCTTATAGTCAGTCTTGGATCCAGCGGAAGAGGAATGCAGAGAATAGGACTGAGTGGAGATGTGTTGAAGCCCATATGCTCCACTCGTATCCCTCCCAAGAGAACAATAATAATAATACTGAACCAAAATCCTAAAGCACTTGACATTTATCGTCAAATGGATTCGGCGACTTTTATTATTTTGTTAACACTTCCGACTTATTCAGCAAGTTTTCATGGATGGTGGATTACTTGTGTTGTTCACGGTTGAGTGATTCCAGCAAACAAAGAGAGTGATAGAAGATGGGTGAACATTGTCCAAGCACTTTCACATAGTAAAGTAGATATCTATATAAACAGCTGATTGTGGGATTACAGCATATTATGTCTTCTGTTGTTTATTTCCCATTTTTTTTAGTTTAAAAATTGCTGAACAAAATCGGAAATATGAAGAGGAGAAAAGTTTCTTTTGTGCTGGTGGTGAACCTGTTGTATCTTTTGGCGATGACGTAAGTGAGATATTTTTGTAAAAGTCTTTTAAGTAATTTTATAAAATAAAATAGAATGCATCAATTGGTAGATGAAGTCTGTTTTGTTCGCTCTACTGGTATAATTCTTTCATAATAGCTCAGATAGATGATTTGCAATTAATAGTGTTCTCTGAGCTGGTTTATCATTAACGTGTTTGTTAATTGCATATTCGTTTGAGTACCAGGCTTCTAGGAATTCCCTGACTGCACTTTTGGTGTTTCCTCTATCTAAGATTTCGACATTATCCCAATCAAACTGATGCTAAAAATTGCGCTGAAGATGTTGTCCAGAAGGACCAAACCAACCAGCTCAGAGAACCCTATTAACTGCAAATAATTCCTTCATTTTATGCAAAATCCGAGATTCTAACGAGCTTCAACTAAATCAAAGCATTTTATAACCATCAGACATTGTTGGACCGTTGGCGTTAGGAGAGACAAAATGTCAAGAGAGAACTCCTTCCCTGCGTCGAAACTCATCGCCTTTGCAAATTGCCGTGTTTAAGCCTGTGACGACTCATAACTGAACTCACTTAGATGTGTCGTTTTGGCTAGTTAAGCGGTTCTCAGATTATTTCTCTATGAATGACATCTTGCATCTGCTGTTTGGGTTCGCTGGGGGATGCAGAACAGGTGCATAAAACCTACATCACTGGAGTTATAAGGGTACAGCCTTTAGATAATTTACATTAGATGATCAGAAGTAATTGGCAGGAAGTTGTGGACTTCGGTGTCTTGCTTGTTGACATTTACCAGTCAGCAAGGTGTATCTACAATCTTGAAGGAACTTATTTCCCCTCAAAGATTCATTTCCGAGTTACATAGCGTTGCAGTTATAGAGACGTTATCAATGAATTCTTCAGACTCGCGGTGCACTGTGAATTCGATGGTTGGAGACAATCGGCAGGATGTCTGGTCTGACCTAGGTTTTGTGCTAGTTGGCATTCATCAGCAAGGCATGTCTGCAACCTGGAAGGAACTCATGTCCCTTCTGAGATTCGAACCCACGTCACCGAGTGCTGCCTGCAGTCACAGATGTTACCGCTGAGCTATTCGGTTTCGCAGTTGACCTCCTATAGTAGTCGGTTCATTCAGTCAGATATTTCTCCTGTACGCTGAGTGAGTCATTTATTATCATATTATATTATTGTTTCCTTTAATTCCTAGAGGAACATAGGGCTTCAGCCGTGCATCTCCATTGCGTTCTGTTCTCTGCTAGAGTCTTCACCTGGCTCCATGTCTGCCCACACGTTTTCATCTCCTCTTCACATCACCTCCTCCATGTCACTCCACTCTCGCACTGACGACCAACTCTCCGCTCCCCTTTCGGGTTCCACTCGAGCAATGGCTTGTCTAGTGATGTCACTTGATGAGTATGACCAATCCATCTCCATTTCTTCCTGCCTATTTGTTTCACAATGGGTTCCTGGTTGGTTTGCTCATTGCCAGAGATCTCTATTGCTGATCTTTTCTGGCCATCTGATCTTGAGTAGTATTGCGCGAATACAATTGTTAATGAAGGTCTGTAGTTTGTTTGAGATGCTCTTTATGACGCGCTGGCCAAGTCTCTAATCCGTATAATAAGTAGCACTGACTTCACATTGGAGTTGAAAATCGGGATGTTATTTTTGATGCTGAGTGCTGTTGACCTACACACAGACTTGAGAGTAGTGAAAGCTTGTCTTGCTTTTCCGATTCTTACTTTGATATCCTCGTCAGTTCCGTCCGCCTGTAGTTGAAACGATGCTTCCCAGGTAGGTAAAAGAGGTTGTTCCTTTCATTTATGCTGATTGTTGCTTGTTGTTGTTGCTGTTGCTGTTGGAGTGAGTCATTTACAATCATTCAGTGTGTCATGAAGTAATTCAATAAAATCAATATTATGCACAAATTGATTTTAATCCATCCTTTTCACGCACACACTGATGTCTCTCTTTTTATTACTTTTGTTAGTTTACTGCATCAAAGAATTCAAATGAACAAATCATTATTATGCAACCTGAAGGGAATTGTTTCCACCAATCACAAAAATTACAATCACAGGAATTACTTTCTCCAATATCATCAAAAACATCAAAATCGAAAATAAATTCTTGTGATATACTAAAACATGATGAAATGTCTGGCGATGAGAAGAAAATGGCAGATGAAAATGTATCAGTGACAACCGCCATCACAAATATCAGTTCAGAACAAATTGTAAGTTGTTGTAATATCATCATTATGAATAATACGGTTAAGGGAACAGATAATAACGTCAGTATTTTCTGGTTCTTCATTTTTGTATACCTTTTTTAAAAGAATGAACACGAGAAGACTAGACGTTAATTCAGTAGGGTGTGTGTTTCACTTAGGATACTCATCATCACAACGTGAATGTATCTATCTATCTGTCTGTCTATCGTCGCGGTGTATTCCTTGCTTTCTGTCGTTCTTCTTAATTATTCGTCATCTTTTCTGTGTACGGCTTGAAAGAATGCTTCGCCAAAAACCACTGGGTTTCTGCGAGTTCCTTGCAACTCATGGATGAACGCCGGTCCATTCCGGCTGGCAGCGAATACAGCAATAAGCGAAAGGCGCTGACGCGCAAGATAAGAAAGCGTTTACGTAAGGACCGCGAGGCCTGGTGGTCAGAACGTGCGGGTGAGATGGAGGCAGCTGCTGCACCTGGCAACAGTCGGAAGCTGTTCCAACTCATCCGAGCCACCGGCAGCAAGAAACAAGGTGTCAGCGAGACGGTCTGTGAGGCAGATGGCACGCCAATCACCAGTCTGAAAAGACGCCTGGAACTCTGGGCAGAGCACTTCGGGAAACAGTTTAGCTGGCCACCAGCTTCAATGTCTGCTGTCATTACCCCCAGTGCTGCTTGGTCGGTTAATACCGACCCACCCACCGAAGCGGAGGTCCGTAAGGAACTCCAAGTTCTGAAACGCCATAAGGCTCCCAGCCCAGACAAATTACCCCCGGCTCTTTTTAAAGATGGTGGCGAGACTCTCATAATGGCTCTAACTGGGTTGTTCAGGAGGGTGTGGGAGACAGAGAGCGTACCATCAATGTGGAACGAAGCCATTATCGTCCCCATCTTTAAAAAGGGTCGACGTAATTCGTGTGACAACCATAGGGGTATCAGTCTGTTACCAGTTGCGTCTAAAATATTGGCTGCTGTCATGCTTCACAGACTGTGCAAAATACGTGAAGGATTGATTTGCGAAGCGCAGGCTGGGTTTCGTTCAGGTCGTGGATGCATTGATCACGTGTTCACCCTTCGTCAGTTGTTGGAACACCGCCACACGTATTGCAGGCCAACGATCGTTGTGTTTCTTGATATTAGGGCTGCCTTCGATTCGTTGGACAGAACTGTGCTCTGGAACTGTCTGTTAGAGAGAGGTGTACCTGAGAAATTTGTTAACATCTTGAAAGCCCTATACAGAAACACCTCAGGTAGAATGAGGGCATACAACCAACTATCACCACTGTTCCCAACCAACAGTGGGGTTAGACAGGGTTGCCCAATCTCTCCATCTCTCTTTAACTTTGCCATCGATGACATTCTGGAGTCAGCTCTGAAGGATGTGCGTGAAGGTGGTGTAGATCTGCTCCCTGTAGAAAGACTTTTCGACCTCGAGTATGCAGACGATATCGTCTTACTGTGCGATAGCATGCAGACTGCCCAAATCGCACTTAATCAGTTGGCGATCAGTGTCTGTAAGTATGGTATGTGCTTTGCGCCGTCTAAGTGCAAAGTACTGTTACAAGATTGGCAGGAGCCTGTACCTGCACTCACTCTTGCGGGTGAACCGCTTGAAGTTGTCGATAAGTTTGTGTACCTAGGTAGTTGTGTGAGTGCTGGCGGAGGAGTGACGGATGAGATTTCCAACCGTATAATGAAAGCTAGGGTGGCATACATCAACTTGAGCCACCTCTGGCGCCGTCGCGACGTTAGCCTGGCTGTCAAAGGTCAGGTATACAATGCTTCGGTGCGGGCTGTCTTGCTCTACGCCTGTGAAACCTGGCCTCTCCGAGCTGAGGATGTGAGGCGACTCTGCGTGTTCGATCACCGCTGTCTCCGCAGGATTGCTTGCGTTCGATGGCATCATCGCGTGAGTAATTCTGAGGTTTGGCGGCGTGTGTTTGAACACAGCGGAGATCACCATTCATTGAATGTCGTCATCTGGAAACACCGGCTCCGGTGGCTTGGACATGTGCTGCGAATGTCACCCCAGAGGCTTCCGTACAGGTCTCTGTTCGCTAGCCCTGGGACGGGATGGAAAAGGTGGAGGGGTGGTCAGTCCATGACGTGGCGTCGTGGGATGAAGGATATTTGTGCTAGATTAGCATCGGTTGGTGTGTCACGACTCCCTGGTTGGGGTCTGAGAGATAGCTCAAATCGATGGCTCGAAACGTTATCAGATATGGCCAAGAATCGTAATCAGTGGCGAATGTGTTGCGATTTCCTTCTTTCTTCCATTCCCTATGATAGTTAACGAACACTGTTTGAACCTGTTAAGAATGAGTGTTTTCCTTCCAGATGAAGTTCTTTATTCGTTCTCTACTTATATATATTTTTCTTTTCCTACCTTCCTTTTTTTCATCTATGTTGTTTTATTATTATTGTGTGGCGCATCCTTCTTGGTGCCATATTGTACCAAGTTTTAATGCGTTTAAATAAATAAAAATAAATAAATACGGCTTTGTGTGTGAGTGTGTGTGTGAAATTATGGTAATTGCTAAAGTAAACTAATACATGGGTGTCGAGATGTACTCACTAATGTGAGTTTAAGTTACTGCAACAAAATTGGTTGGAGGATTTCATCATAAGCTGACATCGGGTAGAGAACTATTGAAAAACCTGGAATTATTGGACAGCTGTTTCATCCTAGTTTGAAACTCGTCAGTACGCCCCCAACATAGGGGTTTAAACCCAGGCCCTTCTGGTTACAAGACTAGCGAGCTCGCAGACCATTAAGCCACTGGGACCCGATCCAATGGCCAGCCCATGAATTCTAACTTTTACCAATTCATGAGATAGTGCGACCACTTCGCAATGTCGTCTTCGACGATTTATTACCTCACCTTCAACCTGCTGTACCCTACTAGTCACAGCTTCTCACTAGAACCCCAGATCACTGCCTGAATATAGTCAGTGGCTAGTGATCATCAGATGAATTCTCAAGTATTAGTTTTCGTAGGGATTCAGTTTGATTGGTTGGAGGATTTCATCATGAGCTGACATCAGTTAGATGAAATCCTCCAAACAATCAAACAGAATCTTTACAAAAAAAACCAATACTTGAATATTAGTCTGATGTTTGCTAGCCACTGGCCTTATTCATGCAGTGACCTGGGGTTCTAGTGGGAAGCTGTGACCAGTAGGGTGCAGCAAGTTGAAAGTGAGGTAGTAACTCATCGAAGAAGACACTACGAATTGGTCGCGCTATGTCATGAATTGGCAGAAGTTAGAATTCATTGGCTGGCCATTAGATCATGTCCCAGTGGCTTGATAGTCTGCGAGCTCGCTAGCCTTGTAACCAGAAAGTTGTTGGTTCGAACCTGAGTGGGGTGGATGCTTACTGCGAAGAGTCTCAAACTAGGACGAAACAGCTGGCTGTCCAGTACTCCCCTAGTGGGTTTTCCAATGGTTCTCTAACTGATGTCAACTTGTGATCGAACCTGTATGCAGAACTGTATTTCAAAATAGGGTAGAGAATGCGCATTTCTCGGTCTGTCTGCTGGTACTTCGTTTCCGACTTCATCTAATGTATCATGCCTCAATTAATGTAATAATTTTGTAGACGGAATAGGTTTCAGACTCCTCATTTGGTGGGTGTTCGTCTTCTAATCGACTCTCGTAGCTTTGTCACTTAAAAATTCACTAGTAATTCAGATATACTCGACAAATGTTAACTGTGTTGATGCTTTATGCGTAAACTAGGGCCTTTAAATTAGTTCAACTTCTCAAATACTGAAACAGTGGATCCATTCAATCATTTTTATTTGATACTTCTTACTTACGTTTGATGCAGAATAGTTATGCCAGCTCATCCGACATTTGACAGTCTATAAAGGCATGTGAAAATTTCATCTCAGGGGGTTCAAGTCGTATCATCTGTGTACTCTGAATCAATTAGATTTCTTTTCTCAGATAGTGAATTTGCTACTAAAATTTTGGTAGAGTTATTCTGTGATTTTGGTGGATGGTAACTTGCAGTGGAATCGAGGATGCGCATTTCTTCCTGTTTGGGACTCATCATCTGGATGCAACTACATTTCCCAGTGAGTGAATGATAGTGTTCCCACTGAGACTCGAACCCAGTGCCAAAAGTTTTATCCACTTTGTGCCATGAAAGCTACCTCTTATGCTAGTCGACATCCATCAGATTTCTTCAAGTTCAATCCTCAAACATCGTGGAAGAATCAGCATGAGGGGCTGATATGTTGACAGAGGTGGTGGTGCACTTCTGTCCAATCTGTCGACGGGAAAGTGCAAATTGAATTAAATAGTTACTAAAATGTTTAAAAGTAGGCAGAGTTATTCCTTTCAGTAAAGTAGTATAAAGGATGGTCACATGAGGTAACCATGAGACGTTACTGAATACGCAAGCAGACACTGGCAAACTAACTTTCGACTGGCGGAGTTGTATATGGTCTTCTTCTCAAGAAATATGACGTCATATTATTATTATTACTAATAAATTCTTTTGCGTTCTCACTGGAATACAAGTCTTCAGGGTTGAGCTCGTGAGTTTCGGTAGCGGTGTTTTCATCTTTTCCGGGGTGATGTTTCTAGTCTCACGTCCAACCTTTCCTCTTTAACGGAATTCTAGCCAGGCAAGATTTAGGAGTTACTTTAGTTACTAAAGCAGAGGCTACATAGGTGGTATGAATGTGAGTTATACCATTCTCATATCTCGCTTATATGACTATGGATGGTTTTCTATAGTTTTGCTAGACTTGCAGAGGCTATTCGCATGCCAACCAAATTGGCTAGCTGGGTCAAAGATTTCATTAAATTTGGTGAATGCTGGCTTCGCCTATAGAGGCCTGTGTCTCTATGGCGTTACTATGCTTGCTAATTTTGACTATAATAAAGCGTTTGACTGGTCTTGTATACGAGATGTGCTCTATCAGGCTTGTCTATGCAGTGCATTAGGCACTAAGCCGTACATGTCTGAGTACAAACCTCAAAATGGTGAGACTGTGAATGGCTCATTATACTACATGGATAACTGTAGTAATTCTGTCTATCTGTCTGGATTCAACATAGAACTTGGCACCGAAGTGCAGCAGTTCGAGTTGCCACGTTCCAAATAGCACACAAAGAGATCGTAGACATCTATGATCAAAAACAGTCAACCTTTTCATGTCTTCAACTCGTATTGGCCATGTTTCAGAGCCATGGAGAAGGACGGAGTGAACTGCTGAGCAGTGCACACGTCCCTTGGTTGATAGCCGAATGTCACGCCTACGCCAGAGATGGCGTAAGTTAGCGAAAGCAGCTCGAGCTTTTTGGATCCGTGCTGAGATTTCGTCACCAATCAATCAATCCGTTGGTGCTGATACAACTTCCCAAATAGGTGAAGTGGTCAACGTGTTCTATCACTTTACTCCCCATCACTAAGCTAGGGGTTGACGTAGTCCAGTCAGTCCTGTAGCAGCAGCTTGCATTTTACAGGGGCGAATCGCATGCGAAACATACGAAGATTGCTGCTCAAGGTGTTCACAAGGCTCTGCATTTTGTGTATTTGTGCATTTGTGTAGTAATTCTAGAGATAATACACGCAATTATACCCTGATCTTCAGGGAAACTGGTGCATTCGTTAGAGATTTAGGGATGCGTCAACTGGGGGGGGGGATAGAACCCCGAACCACTTGTGTGATTGACGAAGTTTCTACCACTGAGCCACCGATGCAAAGTACCATGTTTCCTTATTGGTGTGGATAGAGATAAAAGCACACAGTGATCCAGTAATAATTACTGATAATCATAAATTTTTGATACATGGAACACTAAAATATTATTTTTTTATTTCAAAACTTGTCCAGGAATGAAAATACAATTTGAATTTATCTAACCTGAATATTAGGAGTGTATTTTAATTCCACTCTCTGGTTTTAGACTCCATAATTCAGCTGCTTACTGGCTTGTATTACTTACTTACTTTACTTCGGCTATCTCCTACGGGAGGATGAGCCGGCTTCATGAACATCTCGAATCATCGCTGCCCAGGCGCGGCGATCTGATGAAGAGAGTTCATGAAGTTTCATGGGAATTTGGTACGAGTGATGTCCCCAGAATCGTTTGGCCTTTTGTTTGAGAGTGCAGCTCTAGTCTTTACACAACCAAGTGTGACCTACAAGGCAGTAGGAGTGGAGTAGGGAGTCCACTATCCATTGGCAGCCGGTGACCGGAGTTCGGTTCATACGCCTTTTTGAATGGGGCCAGACATCCAGGACATCCAACAAGCCCTTTGTCCATACGTCTTCCGGTGAGCTCCAGTGAGCTTCATACGCCAGTCGTTGGAGGTTTGGAATCAGGGTTTAGCCATTTCTACTAGACTGTCATCCAATGGACAGTCAACCCGGTGAAGAGTGCCGGGCATCCGCTTTCGCCCCCTCACTTTGGTGAAAAACACCTCCGCCACGTGAAGGCAGTGAGTAGGACTTCCTCAGGAGAGGCTATGTAAGACGCCTGGTCATATGGGAGCATTTCAAGAGGTGTGCGGAGGGGTGGCCAATCCGCAGCGCAAGGCACCCACCCCCGACCATTCTGAGGCTTTGGAGGCTTGTATTGTTGTGTCCGTGAAAGGATACCTTAGATTCTAATAAAGAATGTCAAATTTCTATATTTCTCCCTCTGTAACTAGTCGTTATTTTGCATTTTCTCTCTCTCTCTTTAGGATAGTAAAGATTCAGGAAATACTCTTCGTGTGTCTACCAGATCTTCAACATTACCACAAGTTAATGCTAGTCAACCTTCAGTTTCTCTTACAATACCAACAGATGATCAAGATGATGCTGAAGGTCAAGATGATTCTTCTGAGGAATCTGAATGGTCAGCACACATTGATGTTGATATCGGATGGTGGAGAAGACAACGTCGTCGAAGAACTCGACGTCAGGTTGCAATGATGAATGGAGCTGATATATCTGCTTCAAATGATGCTGACCAGATAAATTCTAATGATTTAGACAGTCTAGAAATGGAACTTGATCAAGATGATACCAATATGGAAATGATATCTTATGATGATATTGGTGATGCATCTCTTTCCTCTGGTTATACAGAAACTAATCAAAGTGGATCGAATATGGAAGGGAATGTTCGACGTTCCCTGCGTCAACAACGTCGTCTCCTCTTGAAGAGAAGACTTCTACGAGAGGCGAAAAGAGCTGAAGCAAGAGCTAAAAAGGCGGAAATTGAAAGGAGATGTTCATCGGCACGTCGTTCTCGTCGATTTCTACGTCTATCTAATGATGATAGTAGTAGAATAGATGAAGATTCTACGAGTCGTGATACATGTATGCCTGAATCTTCTAGTCGTCAATCCTGCAAGTCAGCGCAAGTGACTGAAACTGTAAAGAATGAGGCTTTATTGTCGAGAAGAGAACGTCTTAAACGCCGTCTAGTTCGTAGTGTTGATTACGCTGTCATGGTAAGCATTATATATCTACTACTAATCTTGTGTTCACTTTATGGAGTAAATATCGGTTTTCTTGTGTGTGTGTGTGTGTGTATATATATATTAAAGTTTGACATTGAGTGGGATTACTAAAGTGGGATGATATTGGTGTATATGATTATGAGTCACAACTGATTAGATATATGAATGAATGAATAAATAAATAAACGAATTGGCGGGAGTTAGAATTCATGGGATGGCCATTGAATCGGGTCCCAGTGGCTGAATAGTCTACAGGTCGTCACCTCGTAACCGAGAAGTCCTGGATGCGAACCCTCTGTGGCGAGTGGTTGCTGATGATGAGTCCCAAACTAGGAGGAAACAATTGGCTGTTCAGTACTCTCTGGTGGTTTTCAGTGGTTCTCTAACTGATGTCAATTCGTGATCATTCCTGTATATAAAGCCACTTCAGCCTTAAGTTCAGTAGACATGTGTGAAATGGATAATCTGAAAATGAAGTACATTCGGAAATGTGAATATATGAATACAATATGGTGGAGACTTAGGTTGACTAAAATGTTATCAAAATACTAGACTAGATAAAGTGTCAGAATACGATAACATAAAGTAAAATTAGAACAAAACATATAGGCGAACAATATTTTTTTCAATTAGATCTTCTTCAGGCTTTACTCTAATTTACATAGATTTATACATAAAATTTTAACCAATGACGGTGATTTTGGGAATCAAATAATAACAATAATGTGGTAGGGCGTACAACTAGACAGCTTAACAAACGCATTAATCAACATCTTCCTTCATGGGAGAAATGGAGATGGATTGGCCATACTCTGAGGGAACCATCAAGTGACATCACTAGACAAGCCATTGCTCGAGTGGAACCCGAAAGGGAAGCGGCGAGTTGGTCGTCAGTGCGAGGATGGGTGACTTTGAGGAGGTCATGTGAAGAGGAGATGAAAACGTGTGGGCAGACTTGGAGCCAGGTGAAGACTCTAGCAGAGAACCGAATGCAATGGAGACTCACGACTGAAGCCCTATGTTCCTCTAGGAATTGAAGGAAACAATAATAATAATAATTCCTTCATGGTTCGGAAAAGTTCAAATAAAATCCATACGAAATTCTATTTTGGCTCATTTGATTGATAGCGGTCGCCAAGTGGACAAAAATAGTGCTTTCAAAGTTATCTATCGTATACCATCGAGTCTTTCGAATGGAATCAGAACCCGTCTTTTACACCTAGCCGAAGCTATGGGAATTAATTCGAGAGAACAATCCTAGTCTTTGCATACAAAAGAAATTTGTTCTACCTTTGTCTCTCCCTTGGTCTAGGTGAATTCCATTCAAAACCCTCCCACCCTTTCTTATTTTCCACCCCCTTCGTACTTTTATAATATTTATTTAACCTCTGATTATCGTTCCACTTCACCTTTTAAGATTTGACCTATTTTTTTATACACTTATCTTTGTTATTCTTATCACCTGCATAAACCTTATTATCAATATTTTGTTACCATTATAATCATCGTTATTGACTACATTCAAAACATTTACCACATTATTATTATTATTTGATTCCCAAAATCATCGTCATTGGTTAAAATTTTATATATAAATCTATGTAAATTAGAGTAAAGCCTGAAGAAGATCTAATTGAAAACAACAATATTGTTCGCTTATATGTCTTGTTCTAATATTATAAATGGGAATATTTTTATAGATAAAGTAAAATGAAATGAAACAAAAATGAAACATGGAATAAAGAAGGATAACAAAGTTCTTATTTGAATTACATAGTAAACGTCTAGACCATGGTAACGAAACAGATCGTACTAATTGTTTTTGTACACGGAGTTTTGGCTTTATGTTATGTATTGCCAAAGCCTGCCCTATACAAAGCAAATGCACTCGCTTCTCTTTTCGAAAAACTTTACAGACTGTATTAAATGATGTATATGAGATGCTGTGTGGTCAGTATCTAGAATATGTCGCGATATCGATCATTTAATATTTTTTTCAGTTCTCCTTTGCTCAGCCAAACTGGAAGGTGCTGTCGAACGCGGCGGAATATGTTTCTCGATGAGTCCTTTGTACCTAGCTCCGCATATAAATACTCATGGAATTAAACAGTCGACATAACATTTCCTTAACATTAAGGTCACAAGAGGACGGCTAGACTAGGTTATTCGTACAGTGGCAGCGAAAAATGTTTTTCTTAAGTGATCCTGTCGGACAAATTTTGATTACCTCACTCTCAGTGTCACTCTTAAATTCTAAGTTAAAGTGCAACCCAATTTTAGCCAACTTATCAATCTCTGTATTTCTTCCACGTAATTCGTTATATTAGCCTCAACGAATCGTGGTGGTTACTCGTTCTCGATGAATGTCTTTTTTTCAATTGTTTGAGTTCATCATCAACACTGTCTTCACTACAAATTCCTCCACACACCCGTGTTGAGAGAGAACGGATTGGATTCCTTTTTCCGTCTATGAGTACAAATTTCAAAAACAGACGGTCCAAAAAGATCCAACTGAACAGACGGAGCTCCAGTTAACCAACTTATTGAAAAAAATGAAAGATGAATCGATTATTAATACAGAACTATATGAAAAACTTCGCCCATCTGGTTCTACATCGCCACGAATGTATGGACTACCCAAAGCGCACAAAAAGGACGTCCCACTCCGCCCAATATTAGATATGATCAATTTGCCATATCACCTAATTGTGAAGTGGCTGGTAGAAATTCTTGGACCAGTGAATGAAAAGTCGTCGAGATACAACCTCCGCGTTACATCCGATTTCGTGGACTCAATTAAATATGTCAACCTCGCAAATAAAAAGATGGTCTCCCTAGACGTCGTCTCTCTGTTCACCGATGTTCCACTGACAGAAACTATATGCTTTCTGTGTGACTTCATCGAATGCAACAGCATAGATGTCGGCATACCGATCCATTATCTAAAGGAGCTGTTACTACGTTGCACCTTTAATGTCTACTTCAGATTCAACGATGAAATCTACAGGCAAACAGATGGCGTAGCAATGGGCTGTCTACTCGGACCACTCCTAGCCGACTGTTTTATGGCCAGCCTCGAGAACAACCCCTTATCATCAACTATCGACGACCTTCATCTCTACAAAAGGTACATTGATGATACTTTCATCATTTGTGATGGGAACCTGGACCTTGAAAACTTACTTCAAATCTTCAACAACGCCCACCCAAATATTGACTTTTCACTTGAGACTGAATCCGACGGAATGTTCCATTTCATCGACGTCCATCTGACAAGAAATGACAACAACTCTTTGAAAAGGTCCATATACAAAAAGCCTACTTGGAATGGACAATTCATCAACTTTCAAAGCTTCGTACCGCTAAGCAGAAAGAGAAACCTGATATACGCTCTTTCCTTGAGGATTCGGAATATATGCAGCGAGGAAGTGATTGAAGAAGAACTGCGTAGTCTCCGAAAAACCCTGATGGAAAACGGTTTCCCGCCCAGGTTCATAGACAAGAATCTCAAATCTAAGAAGACGTCCGAACAAGTCCAATCCGTTCCACAGAAAATACTTCTGCTTAATCTAGAATTCATAGGTGACATTGAAGCATAAGTCCTTCACAAACACCTCTCCAAATCGCTGAGGAAAACATACTTCGCCACGAGCCTACGACTGACGTTCTCCTGCAAGAAACTGTCCAACCAGAACGCGAAAGACAAGCTGTCGCATTGGGCCACCTCAACGTGCATATACTAGTTTACTTGCTCTTGTGGAGCTAAGTACATCGGCCGTACCATGCGCCGACTTATAAAACGCGCTCGCGAACACTACCCAGCCTGGCTAGTAAAAGGAGACCAAAAACGTGTATACAGTTCATTGACAGGACATCTGGGCAACTGAGGACATTCAGCGCCTTTCGAAAAATCCTTCAACGTAATATGCAAGATTCAATCGAACCTATCAAAGGGAGTGAGATCAAGACATCTGGGCATAGCTGAGGCGTTAGTTATCCATAAGCTCAAACCCACTCTTTGTATCTAAAAGAATTACGTCTAACCCCTGTCCCTGCCATGGCCATCATAAACAGGTAAAATTTTTTTAGTAATGACAATCTCATCGCCCTTCTTATCTAAACTTCCTGTTTATTCATGTTATTTTAAGTTTTTCTTAATCCCTGTTTACACTACCATATTTTCATATCCACTCTTCCTGTTTATTTTGTCATTTTATTATTTCTACATATTTAATCCCTGATTGCATAAACAATTATTTATCATATTAGTTTTTTTATCCAAACATCGTGTATATTTTGTTATTTCTACATTTCTAACCCCCAATTGCACAATGTCAATCTTCTTAGTTATTATAATGCTACTTTGTTCGAGTTTTATCCGCCCCACGTGTTTATTATGACATTCTAATTCCTAATTGTAATTTTTATTAATTTGACCCTTAACCGGAAATAATTCTGGAAATTTCCCATCCATTTGAGATAAATACACGAATGTACAGCCTAGATGACGGTGACTTCGTCGAAAAGAAAATCTTCTTCGCTGCAATTGTCTTTTTTTCTCCCTATGATCAAATGAGTATAAAACTGTAAAAATTGGTCACTTGTCCTGCCTACGTCGATTTCCTGTAAATATATCTTCTCAAAGATCAGTACTCAGCTCTCTCCTTGTGAGTAGTAGGATATCAACGAAAGATATTTTTCATTTCTGTGACTCATAATCGTATACACCAATATATTATCGCACTTGAGTATTCCCACTCACTGTCAAACTTTAATACCCACCCACCCACACACACACACACACACAAGAAAACTGATTGTTATTGTGTATAATCATTCATATCTACATATGTGATTGTACAAGGATGAAAATGAATTTTTATATATTCTCTATGTGTATAAATTTATTTCAGTCAATCAATTCGAGTATTCGGGTAATGTTCCAAAATCGATATTACTCATTTAAATGAAATGATTACATCCCACACACC